ACAAGTTCTTAAACTTATTGTTCTTAAAACACAGAAAAGTAAATAAAGAAGTAAAGCAAACAATTATTTCTTCTAGTTACAACCTTTATACTCAGTTGCTGCTTATCATAGCTTGCTAAGCCTTAAGAAATTTCGCATGTGGAGAATGTGAAATGAGATAAATTTTTTTAGGCTTTATATATATATTTACTAAATTATTACATTGATACTGAAGACTCAACTTACCAGCACGAAGGTTTGTCTCCAAAGAAAGAGATCACATAATTATTTTTGAAAATGGTTGAGAAAGTCACTAGGGGGCCAGTCTGAGCTTTAGACTGGTTATTCACATGTCATACATAGAAGTAAGAGTATATAAGGGACCTTTTCTAAAAATGGAAAGAGGTGAGCCGGGCCACTGTGTTTGATTCAGTACATGAGCGATATCTCAGCAAAAAAAAAAAAAGATAGAGAGGTTCTTATTTTATATTCTAGCTTGTCAATATCAGTAATTTGAGTTCCTAACTTGTACAAAACTATGGACTTTGTATTTCGACATCACAAACACCTAATTTGAATCAGTGGTTCATTCAACATACCACGTGACACATAAAGATCGATGTTTAGGTGTGTTTTTTTTAATATTTACTTTTAAATTAAGAAATTAAATAATGTATAATAAGAAAATTTGAATTATAATCTACAGTTTGATACCAAAATTAATGACATAAATTCATAACATAGTAGTTCAATAAAATTTTGAATGCGAGTCAACAAACATGATGACATGGCCTTTGACCCGTGACAATCTGGAAAGGGTTAAAGGAAAAATATCTTATTGACATATCCTTAGTTGATTAAACCATATTTAACAGGTCCAAATAGAAACCTAAGAGGAGTTAGAGGACAAACAAGCTTCTCTCAGACTAAAACTATAGTAGGATTGTTATGTTGTTTGGTACACCAATCTTAGATATGAAGATATAAGTGATGAAAACAGGGAAAAGTTTCAAACAAAAATCTTAAATAAAATGATATATGTGAAATTCCTCAACTAATGCATCGGCAGAAGTACAATTTTCAATAAGATACTCTTGAATTGAGTTAAAATAATTCTGATCATCAGGTATAATGAAATATTTTTTTCTCAATTCAAACATTTATATGAATTCAAATAAAAACTATTTTCTTCAAAATTTGATGATTTTAAAACAGTTAACAAACAGGTGCTTGATAATACTGAATTTTATTCAAATCTCAGCTTTTTGGAAAGTTGCCAAATATTTAACAAAGTATATATCACCCAGTCTTCTCTTTTATTCTCTTTACAGAGAGCTAGTTTTATCAAATCAATGATACCTAAAGGCATTACAGCTTCCAGATATCAGCAACAATACATGATCTTTATCTACCAATTCTGAAATTCTAACTGTGAAACCAGATATGTAATTAACCCAGCTAGACCTCATTTTATAAATATGCTTCTTCATGCTTAAGTGTTAAGCTACTTTTCAGCAACATTGTAAACACGGCTCACAAATGAACTCTTTAGTCAAAAAAAGTATATTTCGGAAAATAACATATCAAAGTGAAAACACACCCGATTGTGCTCATCTACAAAGTTAAGGAAACATACCACAAATATACACATAAAAACACCATTAAACTAATTCACCAGATGCTAAAACACAAACAAATATGTGATTATGCAAAAGTGTTTATTAAGTAAATATGTACAATAAAAATACCTATATCCTTGTTTGCGATCAACTGCACTCCCTATGTTGTAAGCAGAACTCGACTCTACGGTGATCATGGTAAACATTTTCATAACTTCCTCATATACATATACCTGAATAAATATAAAACAGATTATTAAAAAACAGGTAATATCAGAATCTGTAACATCTTCAGGAATATAGGCAGGAAAAGATATCAAACATTAGCAAGTATTAAGGAACAAAACATAGTCTGTAAAACATGCAATCTCACACACACATACCAAAAAGAAATATTTCAAATAATAAGTTACTTTAATGGACAGAGAAGATATCTGTTTTTTTTTTCTTTGAGTCCCGAAGCCACTTATGACCACTGGGGCAACTTAGATATTGGTGTACCATCAGTGATTCTTGGGCAGATTTACCTGGTGGTGCCCGTCTCTTCTCCATTTAGCAGTGAAAGACTAGAGTGAAAGCAGCTAGTCAACACCACCCACTCTGATATGTACTATACTATATCAATAAATGGATATATAGAACACATACAAATATAAAGACAGATTAATGTTGTTTATTTATGTAAGATCAAAATTAACTTCTTTTTAATTGCTTCATATGTACTATACTATATCAATAAATGGATATATAGAACACATACAAATATAAAGACAGATTAATGTTGTTTATTTATGTAAGATCAAAATTAACTTATTTTAATTGCTTCATAATTTTTTCATTAAAATTTGTATATTTACATACACACCAGTAGAATGAGTCAATATTTGACAAAATGTAGAGATTTGTGATATTTCAGGCTATGGTCTAAAACTAAGTACTATCGAATTCATGTTGGAAAAGTTGTTTACAAAACTTCCTCCTAAACAACAGTTTCAATATTTGTAAGTTCACGGACGATAAATATTTAACCAATTGAAATACCATACCCTAAACAGAGCTACATAGAGCTGAGCATAAGAAAAAACTGGGTCAACTAGGTGCAACTCAAATGGACAGACATTCATTTTCCCAAATTATAATATTATAAGATACCCATACATCACAAAGTAATAGAAGATAGTTTGTTCTTACAAGAACAGAGTACCTTATAAGCCATTTTCAACTTTTTAACAGCACAGTAACCTAAAAACAATTTTAATGGACTGCAAAATAAATCATAAACTGCATTTTACAAAATTATAAAATCTATGAAGGTAAATAACTAATGTTATACATTACTGTAATAATTTGTACAAATGGATTTTTTTTTTATTTAATTCTATAAACATTTTAAAGTAAAACTACCAGTTTTTCGTATTTTTACTCTGTATACCACAAATCTAAAAACTGTTAGAACATACAACTTCATTTGATTTGTTTTTAAAGACAAAAGTTAATAAATAATTCCATTATGTTACTTAGTTTTAAAATTCAAAAACTGCTAAAATAGGACAGAAAAATGTATCATTTAAAAACAACATTTCACCACTGTTAATTTGACATCATCAGGTGATGATGCCACGTTAACAGTGGCAAAACGTTGTTTTTAACTGATGCATTTTTTCTATCCCATTTTAGCTGTTTTTAATTCTTAAATTTTGTACACTGTCGGATACCTCTAACATTTATATTCACTTTGATTTTGACAGATTGAAAAGATCATTAAAGTTAAATCCTGAAAATGAAACAAAGCAAAAAAAAATCAACTAACATCTCCTTTAGCAATCACCATACAACCCAGCTGGTCAACAATAAGGGAATCCAACGGAGAAGGAGGTCTGCAGAATCTTTGCTGAAAGAACTGCAGAATAAACTCCATGGTTCTTGGTGTATCCTTCAAATTCACAGCAATGTGGCCCAGAGAAACAATTGTGTTGGTAGACACAAGGGTAGATTCCCTAATAAAGAACAGCATGAAAACACATAATATTCCATTGTTTTGGTACACTGTTCATATTTACCTACTTTCCGTAATATAATTAACTTATTTCGATCTCAGCAAACTGTCATCTTTATTTAGAATAAAACATACTAGTGGAAAGTTTCTCCTCAAGGTTTGTTTGTTTGTTATGATTTTCGCGCAAAGCTACACGAGAGCTATCTGCGCCAGCCGTCCCTAATTTAGCAGTGTAAGACTAGAGGGAAGGCAGCGAGTCATCACCATCCACCGTTAACTCTTGGACTACTCTTTTACCAATGAATGGTGAGATTGACCATCATGTTATAATGCCCCCAGAGCTGAAAGGGCGGGCATGTTTGGTGTGACGGGGATTTGAACCTGCGAGCCGCAGATTGTGAGTCGAGCGCCCTAACCACCTGGCGATGCCGGGCCTCTCCTTGAGGTAGACAGCACAGTAAATTTATGAAACTTTGTCTAAATTAATCATCCCAATGAAAAGTTTAACTGAAATAGTTCTATTAATTTTGAAGCCTTGTTCCTTCTTCAATATAATATCAAGATCACCGATCTAGAGAATAAACTCTTTATACAACTATACAAGAAATGAATCTATGAACAGGCATTGAGAAACATAGTTTCCAATCTGACGTATATGTAAAAGTTACTATAAAACGTTTAAAATTTGTTTATGAGTATTTACTTCACATTCATTCAGACAGTTTAATTCATTTTAACAAATATTTCAAAGTTTTTGCCTGTAAATAAGCTAATAGTATATAAATTGGTGGTAGAATAAATTTGAAGCCTATACAGAAATAAATCAATAAATATTTAAAAAATGTTCTTATTTAAAGTATTAGAATGCCACATAATCATTTCAGCACAGTACAATGTGCAATGCAATGAAACTTCATGTCCTGCTTTTTCTTAAATCACAACAAAAACACAGTAGAAGCACAATGAGATCACTGCATATCATGGACATCTTAACAAGAATTACCTTAAAACAAAGACACTGAAATATTTAGTATAAAAAACCCTTTATCATAAATTAAGGAAAATCAATGAATCTTTATACACTTGTCGTGTGTGAACCAAAATTTAACACTCACATGTCACTCTTCTCTGCCTGATACAGCCTATTGGAGACAGAAGCCAAGAAAGCCTGAACACACGTTGGATCTTCTGCCAGTCCTGCTCTAAGAGCCCTTCGTAACCAAAACCACAAAGCAAATATATAAAAGAGTACAAGACCTCTTGACAGAAATTACAACTTAAGATAATGAGACACCTTTACCATGTTATGTTTATTCTAATGTACTAAACATGATGATAACATAAACAAATTATAATTTGTGGAGTGAAATGTTTTCTATAAGGTACAACAGTTTTCAAAGAACCTTCTTAATCGATATTATTTCAAAATATCCAAAATGTTTGCCTCTTCACTTTTAACTCTTTTAAACCCACCTTTTTTTGTGCATTCTGCCAAAATTACTTTCATGATTTCCAAATAATTATCACCATACCTTATAAAATTTAAATTTTCTTAATTATGTGGATAATAATGTGGGGTTTGGATTAGTTTTTACCGAAAGAGAAATAAATGTTATCAGACACTGTCAATGTCTGATGGGTAAATCAGGATTTTTGGCCGGACGCTAAGAGCATCTACTCGGAGTTAAGGGGCTAACTTCACAAACATAAAAGACATTTACGTATGTCATTTTAAAATACTAATAGTTTTATTTCTTTGGTAGTCAATATATATATATATATATATATATATATCATGGTAATTTTTATTTTTTATAAAGATTATATAATACGCATTATAAACTTTATTGTGCATAAACAGTACAGGCTATATTTATTTTGCTTTATTTTAAAACTGCATAATAAAATCTTACAAAACTTAAACACTAATACCACCCTTAATCATAAGCTTCAAACTCCACTTAAAAAGTAGTAAGTTACCTGCACAAGTTATCTATGGCAATATCTCGTAACTTCTCAAAAGCATTGAAAGAGCTAGAGACAGTGCCTGATTTCAACGTTGATGTAGAACTGTCTGTCACCATGATACAAAGGGGGCCTGAGTGGGTGTTCTGAGGGGTCTGCTGTTTATGAAGCTTTAGCAACACGGGTGAAGGATTGACCAGAAAGTCTCGGAGTGAAGCAATGCTTACATCTGCTATACTGGGAAACTTCTCTGCTAGTTTTCCGAGTCCCTGTACAAAGAAGAATCCAATTTCTTCAGAAAGTATGAAATAAAAAAAATATATACAGAATTATACTTATCCAAAAGTTTACTAAGTTGTCAAGTACTTTCCTAGGATACATTATTTTTAAAAATATGTAATAACTCATATTATCACTAGGAGGAAATAGATATACTGAACATGTCATTGAGGTTGCATGACTTAATAACTTAAGAGCTATGCATGTGTATATGTATGCATATATATAGATAATTAAACAGATGTTTGTGTATTTATGCAACATATCCAGGGTTATTCACATGTATGTGTATATTCTACATTATTAAAAAAGCAAAAGCATTAGATTTCATTTTAGAAACGACTTACCTCCAAACAAACAATAATTAAAGGCATATGAGCAAAGGCTAACTTGTGTCCATGTGAAGAATTTATTTTTTCTGTTAAGCGGCCACATAGGCTATCAGCACCTGCAAACAAAAAATTGTTGAAATTTAAGACTGGGCAATGTTTCTACATTTGAAAATTATAGTTCCTTAACAAATACAAAATTAGGACTGGTCAGTTTCTACATTTAAAAATTATAGTTCCTTAATAAATACAAAATTAGGACTGGTCAGTTTCTATATTTAAAAATTATAGTTCCTTAACAAATACAAAATTAGGACTGGTCAGTTTCTACATTTAAAAATTATAGTTCCTTAACAAATATAAAATTAGGACTGGTCAGTTTCTACATTTAAAAATTATAGTTTCTTAACAAATACAAAATTAGGACTGGTCAGTTTCTACATTTAAAAATTATACCTCCTTAAGAAATACAAAACTTATTTTTTAACTTTTTTATCTATTTTTGATTTTCCAAGACTTATGATACTTTCTGCTTTAACAAGTATTATGGGAAAACAAAAATTAATGAAAGAATAAAAAGGAGCAATTAGGTATCAATTAAAAAAAATGATCATTAAATGTTATAATTTTTGGTTCTTCATGATTCATAACAGAAAAAACACACTTTGTGTTTTAACAGAAAACATATTAAAAATATTAAATTTTCCATTCTTCAACTCACATGTTCATATACTTGATTAATTGTAGTTGTAACTTTCAAAATGTGCAATTATAATGATAGATTTTCAAAACATAACATAATCACTGCCAATAGATTAACAGGCATGGACTTGTAGCAATAATAAAAATAAGTTCAGTCTAGTTATGTCACTGAAACTGGAAACATCTTTATTCTCAGAATTTGTAAAAGCTTTCTGAAATAGGGTTAAGTTCTTTCTACTATCATATTTCTACAAATTGTAGCAATACTTGTCTAAACATACACATTGGGCACATTATTTTATTTGTTAACTTTCAAGATTTATTTTAGGTGCTCCTTTAATATGTTTTGAATGTTATAGTTACATATTTGAAGGAATAAACATATTACAATATAAGAGTAAACAAAACCCAAATTATAATAATCTGAAAACTACAGCTTTCATCACCATAGCTTGGTTGAAGATAAAGAGTACGACTTAATCAGAGCTTAACTCTTTAAACCCGAGCATTTACCCATAGGACGGTGATACTGTCAGATGATATTTATGTCTCTTTGGCTGAAATCTAATTTAAACCACGTTTTATGTACAAAATTAAGAAAATTTAAATTTTATAGGGTATGATGATAATTATTAGGAAGTCATGAAAATAATTCTGGGTTTAAAGAGTTAATACTCCCACTAAACAATCACTGGATAACTACAACCTGTTACATTATAGTTATGGCAAGGAGAACTAATGACATGGAATAATGTCAATCTTCTTCCTTAGTTCATTTTCATGAAAATGTAACCAATCATGTGATATGGTATCAATGACCAGTCATTCAGCCTGGGTCTTATGCAGTGACCACACAGAATCGTGTCTCAACTGTTATTCTGAAGAGCAACACAGAGTTTAAAGTTCTCCAAACTGTTCAAACTACGGCTAGATCTCCAAGAAAACATTCAGATGTTTCACTTATATTGAAAGCGATCAAATGAATGAAACGCAGCAACTAACACCAGGGTGTTGTGAACTGGTTAAAAATGTCTCAATGTACCATTAGCAAAATAAAGAATTGGTTCTAAACCAAAGGTATGATTGCTCAGTTATTTAAATAAGAAAGAACATCATCCAGATAAAAAAAGCAGACAAAAGCTACCTGTGCATTTTGACTCACCAATAACAGTAGAATGTTCTTGGTTTGGTTTGTTTTGAACTTCTCGCAAAGCTACATGAGGGCTATATGCACTAGCCATCCCTAATTTACCAGTGAAAGACTAGAGGGAAGGCAGCTAGTCATCACCACCCAATGCCAACTCTTGGGCTACTCTTTTACCAATGAACAATGGGATTGACCTTCATCTTATAATGCCCCCAGAGATGAAAGGGCGAGCATGTTTGGTGGGATGGGGATATGAACCCAGATTGTGAGTCATGCTCCCTAACCACCTGGCCAGGCCACACCAACTGTAGATTGAAAGCTCTGAAACTACATCAAATGTTCACAGAAGCATCATTGTCAAGATATAGATGATTAGAAATAGGGCCAGCTTGTGTACCACGTACCCAGTAAGATGCATTATCTTATCAATACTCTGATTTTTAAGCATGCAACACATTGTCAGACAGCCCTTACTGTCTATATTGATCATATTGAAGTGAAATTTTATGAAGTGTAAACATGTAAAGCTACCTATACTAATTGTTCATTCACAGGCATGAGCTAAATGACCAATCATTTGTATTTTAGATCAATTACCAGCCCAATGGAAGTCTGACTTGCATAAAAATTAGGGTGGATGATTAAAATTGTTTTTTACCATTCAATTAATCTTTGCTTTTACTGTATGACTGATGATTAATTGCACTTTATAAAAATGATGTTCTAGGTTCCTTAGAGTATTTCTTCCACCGTAGATTAGGCTTAATCTGATGGCTAACTTTACGTGCTATTGCCTGACTCTTGTAATTTCTATTGCAACAAGCATCTGCAAATTAAATAAGACACTTTGCATCTTGACAAACTTCTATACACCCTTCACTGTACATAGCTGTTGGCTTCCAAGGTTATGTTTAAACAGACCAAAGGCCAAAAAGTTAATTGGAGGTGAACCAGTGTACTTAACAAGTACATGGTCAAATGAAATTGCTGCAATTCCATTTCTTTAGCCACCCTTCTCATCAAAATACTCATTCATTTTAATATGTGGATTAATTGTATCGAGATATAAGCCTAGTTTCATTGTAATGGATTTTTTGGGGGTTAAAAGATTCTCTTTCATAACTACAGTCTTCAACTTGTGATTTCAAAATAACTGGTTACTTAGCTAGTGAAATGAGTAATAATAAAATACTACACGTAAGAACCCATCAATTCATTCCTATGCACAACTTTAAAAAGTAAAAACATTTTTTATTATAAAGCTATGTTTACCTGCTTCATCTGCTGTTGCCCATACAAGTAAATCTACACAAGCTGCATTGGTCTGTACATTAACTTTAAACTTATTAACAGTGGCAAAATTTGATTCACGATCCTCTCGTTCACTAGCATCATGATGTCTGCTTTGAAGTTCTGTTTGTCCAGAAAGAAACAGACCTTTTACAAATTCTTGAACGTCTTTAGTGAATGGAATAGGTAAATCTGAAATAATTAAAAAAAGTTAACTCCTTAACTAAAACCAATCTTTAATATACCTAAACTGCCTACAGTTATTAAGATTTAACCCTTTCTGATTGTCATGCTCATTATTGGACATAACAAGCCACAATGGTTGGTTGTTGTAGTTTTTTTGTTTTTTTTTAAACCTTTAGTCAATGAAAAGAAAGTGGAAAAACAATGACATGATAACAACATAAATTTTGATCTATTAATTTACCACAGAACAGGATATTTTAGACTGTTAAAATACACTAATACTATAATAAAAACTGACAAGTCAAAGCAAGAATTACTGCAATATAAGTTCCTCTCTTTTGGCCAATTAAAAAAACAAAAACTCATGAAAGAGATTGAAAGAAGTTTAATGCATAATTCAGTCATTAGTATACACATGCAAAACAAAGTAGCTGGAATTTAATGACGGGAATGACTTCAATTATTCAAAGTTACCAGAATAAGACTTCCAGATACTGCAAAGAAAATTAACTTTTTAACTACTCCAACTTTAAACAAGTATGAACACATTCAGAACTGTGTTGAAACATATTAAGAAGCATGATTAAATGCAGAGATATATAATTCTAACACTTACATTAATGATTAATCAATCAAAAAATATAAAATCCTTGAATGAAAAAAAATTCTTTCACTTTTTACAATATCTACTGAAATAATCTTGAAAAATATATTACTCCGGTGACCACCTGAAAATACATATCACTGAATCAATAAACATACACAGAAACAGTGAGGGAGGGGAGGGGGGCGTTGATTAAGTTCTTACTTTACAATAACTATTTGGAAATATCTTACAAGATCAAAATACAACTTTCTAGCTATGTCCATATCATTTACTCAATTTATCATGCTGACTGTTGAGGAAACATTTGTTCTCTTACTACTAATACATACTGTTACCTGTTTGATGTTGTAGTAGTTCACGTAGTAGCGTCACTAGGACCAGCTTTACAGTTTCACTATAAGTCTTGTAAGGATAAATCTTCAACTGTCCACTCTACAGAAAAAAAAAATACTTATCCTCATCTTACTTACTCTAGTGATACATATAAAAAAAACCTTTATCAATATAACTTAACAGACAGTAAGTCACACAAAATACTTCTTCCTCATTTAAAAATATTTCACATTCCACAGGAAAAAAAAAGGGGATTTCTGATTCTGATGAAGCAACTTTTTTCAACAACACCAAAATTATGATTACATTTTTTTTCTTGTCAACATGCTTATTAGCAAGGTGTATTTTGTACAAAAATAAAATTATTATTAACTATTGTTGTACTTTCTAACATAATGATGTTGATATAAGTCACAACATTCACAAGCACAAAAGTTTTCTATTGTGTGAAGACAAATTTGAAAAACTTTTCCACCAAAAGAACTATACTTGCATTACATGAAAGTTAAATTAAGATCAATATTTCCTTATTATGAAGTCATTTGAATAAACAATAAATGAGTAGTAAATATTTAATACAGTATAGCCAACAAAGTTAAGCACAAGAAAACTTTTAATTCCATGTACGTAACAAATCAGTGGAGTAAAAATAATGTAATATATTCAGCACTGTGGTCTCACTACCATTCTGAATATCAGAAATCTTTAGACAATAAACTGCTTTACTTTGTATTTTCAGCACTGTGGTCTCTACCATTCTGAATAATGGAAATCTTTAGACAATAAACTGCTTTACTTTGTATCTTTAGCACTGTGGTCTCTACCATTCTGAATAATGGAAATCTTTAGACAATAAATTGATTTACTTTGTACCTTCAGCACTGTGGTCTCTACCATTCTGAATATCAGAAATCTTTAGACAATAAATTGCTTTACTTTGTATCTTCAGCACTGTGGTCTCTACCATTCTGAATAATGGAAATCTTTAGACAATAAACTGCTTTACTTTGTATCTTCAGCACTGTGGTCTCTACCATTCTGAATAATGGAAAACTTTAGACAATAAACTGCTTTACTTTGTATCTTCAGCACTGTGGTCTCTACCATTCTGAATATAGGAAATCTTTAGACAATAAACTGCTTTACTTTGCACGTATGTGTATATAATATTTGTCTCTCTCTCTCAGGAATTTTATGTATATACATATATATATTTATTTATTTATTTAAAAAAAAACAAGAACAAAAGACTCTATTAATCATAATCATATTTTTAAGTGGTAACATAAGCTACTCTGTTATTCAGTCTTTTTCAAGGAGTTCTGCCAATTTTTATAGGGCCACAATTCTTTACAGTAGGTGTCTGAGACTTGTTGGCAATAAATTTCAATGATAAATAAACAGCACACCGTCCACTTGTTTTAAAATAATATATTAAAAATAGTCAAACATATATGCAAATGTTCAACACATAGTTCATTACCACAGTTGTATTCAGAACTTTAAATAATTCTCTTTTTCCTCAAAAGTCTATACAAGCTGGTTCAGTTACTTTAGAACCCAATGGACAAGATAAATTATTTCTTCTCTACTCTGTTACTACAATACAATCTGCAATCATTACACTTTAAAAGTTGCCACTATACATTCTTTATAGCTAAACTTACAAACACAGTCTAGATCAATATCTATCACTAACTTTGTCTTATTTGATTCACTTTGACTGACTTACTTACTTGTACTAACTTGGTTGCCTATATATATATATATATGTATATTGCCCAACTGAGTCATAGAACTTTATACACATTACAAGACGTTATAATGTAATAATACTCAATGAAACAATGAGAAAAACCTAGAAGGTTCGAGTAACGTGAGGTCAATTCACAACAAAAAGATTTATAAACAGTTATGTAAAAGCAAACTTACGATAACTTATCGCTTCTAAAAATACTAAATTTAACATTTGCACTTTAACTATACAAGTCATAACTCTCATATTAATATTAAATGAAACAGTCGTGGGCAGCTAACAAGCTCTTTTGAATCTAAATCTGCTCTTTAGCCTTCTGATAGCTTTTTAGAAACACACATTTCCTTGTTAAAACTTATTTTCTACATACTTTGAATTGATTTTTTGAACCAAAAGTTGCAAGAACAAATAATAACTACGAGTTGTTTCTCTTTTTTTTTTAATGATGATTATGAAAAATGTTAGTATAAAGTAGAATTAAGGTGAAAAGCAACCTTTCTTAGTACATGATCAGAGTAATAACATAAACCAAACCCACCACAAATACATCCAATGTTTCATCATCAAAGAATTTCAGTAACTCGTTCGTAAGTAACTTTTTGGCCTGAAATAAAAATTAAGCAAATGTATGTATGAATATATATAAAAGGTAAAAGATGTAAAACATAAAATTTTCTTATTCTTAAAAATTATAATATCAATAATTTTAACCGATTACAAAAGAATTTTATTTTTACACTGGGTTCTAAATTAACAGAATTTTTCAAGTTGCACTACCTAAGTTTTACCATGAAGAAGTTGGGCTTAAAAACTTAAGTTCAGTTTTCGTTTATAGTGATTATGGTTCTTTTAATTAAATGCCTTTTTTTATTTACTCATATCCCTCACAAATATTTACATAGTTTTGTCCAAATGGATGTAACAAGTCATTTCACCACTCCTATAGTTACTGTTTCATATTAAAACAGCTAATAGCTTTTATTACAGAACTACTCCTGTAGTACTAATATGTGTATTCAAAGATTACTTTGTGTATGTTAACAGGCTAAAACATATTCATAAAATAAAACAAAATCACCATTATTTTTAATATGTTGGATACTCACAATGGCTAATACAGCCTGAAGGTGAACAATGGAGAAAGACAATGGATTATCCTCTTTAGCAGATTCTGTAACTCCTAATGCTGGCATTCTCCCAAAACTGGACCCAAATTTATGGAAAAAGTAAGATGTGGAATCATAAGGAACAGAAGAATGGCTGTGCAAAGAAGGTTTCTTGTACTGAACTTCACGAGAACTGGCCAGGGAAATAAGATCTGTTCCCGAATCTTGGCTAGTTAGTCCCAATGAAGAAAAACTGTTTGACAACCCAGACATTGATCGTGGAATGATTGGTCTGAAATTAGTGAATGTACGTCGTTTTGGCAACGTTCCACTCCGTGAGACCTCTGAAGATGAGAGAACAGGTGTTGGTGGTGGTGGGAATATTCTGCACAGTAATGGGGGTGAGGTTTTGGTAGCTCTTCCCATAGCACGAGCTGTGCCAATTAATACTGGTAATGTTGACCTGCAAAGTGTGACTTCAAAAAGAAAAGAATATGCTTTATCATTTAATATTAAGAGTTAAAGAAAAAAACTGTCAAAGTTTAAAGTAATTTTCTCACGAAAATTCACAAATATGCTCACTATATTTTGTGTACAGTTTCATAAAAAAAAAAGATTGCAATAACTTAAAAAAAATACAACAATCATACAAACCTTTTGCCGTACTTCCTCTAGGCGAATGAGTATCCTTGTAACTGCGGCAAATATTTGCCAGTACTCCAAGAAAATCCACTTGTGATGAGATAATCTAACATATGGAAGAGAATTGTTACAATATTTTTCATAAAAAATCAATCTATATATATGTTGTTTTCTTATTGTCATATTTCAACAAACTAAAATATACCAACCTCTTCTCTGACATCTTCACAAAAGCATGCAATATCAGAGAGTAAGGTATTCAAGCAGAAACTAAATCGCTCACTAGGTGGAATTCCTGCAATGACACAAGAACAACCTATTTTACTTTCTGACACATTTCTTCTGAGACAATATCAAAAAACAAGAGTGCATGTCAAAGTGAAATACTACCAATACTTTGGCCATTCAGATTAAGTGATCATAAAATTCATTATCTAAATCATGGTACATATTAACAGTTTTCCCTAAGTTGTCATTTAAAGGTACATGTTTAAATGCAGAATTTTTATTATTTGTGGTTAATTTAACAGTATGTATCACATTGTAGATATTCTATTGTAAAACCAATTATTTGTTAAACAAACTTTCTTCCAAAAGTTTGATCTTTCTTAACCCTTTCCAGCCCATGGACAACATATTTTGGCAAACATACTTACATTTGAAATAATTGTGTGTGTTTAAAGCTACAGAGAAACACCATAAAATATCACTAATACCTAGGACAGGGGTTCCCAAACTTTCTCAGCACAAGGCCACCAGAAAATTCTGTATCCTGACTGAACTCTCACCCTCCACCCACATAATGGATCTTTGGATACTGATTACCTTAGCAGCATTGTGTATTTTGTGTATTTGATATGGTCCCCTGACACTTTCCTCTAACCCCAGTTTGGGAACCTTTGACCTAGAGTATATATATTTAACAGTTTAAATGAGAAACAAATAAAGAGTTCAACAAATGTTTATTAAATTCATCAACACAATATTTATCATTGTAAAATGTACATTTTTCTAATTTAATACCACAAGTCTTAATTTACAGTAGTATGTGTGATGTAACAGCAGTACATGAAGTCCTTTACATATTTCAAGAAAGATCTTTACTTACTGTCTGTAGCATGGATGCGGATTTCATCAACCCACAAGGATAAAGAAAGATCCTTACTTACTGTCTGTAGCATGGTTGCAGATTTCATCAACCCACAAGGATAAAGAAAGATCCTTACTTACTGTCTGTAGCATGGTTGCAGATTTCATCAACCCACAAGGATTAAGAAAGATCTTTACTCACTGTCTGTACCATGGTTGCGGATTTAATCAACCCACAAGGATAAAGAAAGATCTTTACTTACTGTCTGTATCATGGTTGCGGATTTAATCAACCCAAAGGATTAAGAAAGATCGTTTCTTACCATCTGTAGCATGGATGCGTATTTCATCAACCCACAAGGATTAAGAAAGATCTTTACTTACTGTCTGTAGCATGGATGCGGATTTCATCAACCCACAAGGATTTTGCTAGTCCCCGTAGTAACCTTAACAAATACGGTAGAATGAGATCAACATGCTGTAAAAAATATACATTATGTTAACAGTTATATATCTTATGTTTCAGCTAGAACTGATAAATTAATTTACAAAACAAGCAATCTTACGTACTAACAAGATCAAAATGTGCATGAAACTCGAAAGGTTTATATGCTCTTCTTTTTTAACAAAATGTAGAGAAAAACCATATAACATTAAGATTTGTGTCATGCATCCGGAACTAATCTCTCCAATAAATGATTTTCATAGAGTGTAATAATATCCTAGAAAGAATATTTAAAATATAAACTTTCTTTTTTTAAGGAAATAACTCTTCTAAATTGTTTTGTTTAATTTCAAAAAAAGTCAAAATTCACTCTTATAAAGACATCTTTAAAAATCTTGTCATTGTCAAAGCTGTTATTTCTCTAGGATTGATCAACTTTTTTTTTCACCATAAAAGCAAATATGAAACAAAACAAAAAGCTTTTAATAACTAATGCTGGGATATAAATAATGAAGAAAAATTACATTCACTCGAGGGAAAGCTATCAGAATGATTACACTACCTCATGTAAAGTTGCATTTTCTCATGAATTGTTTTTTTATTTAATCCATACAATATATTCACTTTCATTGGTCATAACTGAAGGAATACAGGTGTACCATGCATTCCTAATCATGAAAGCCAACTAAAAAAAATCGAAATTCCTCAAGCAAAGTTAAATTCCTCGGGAATGCAGGAATCTAATATTTCGATCCATGTAATGCAAATGAAGGTGATTTTAAATTTTATTTAAATGAAAAAGCTGACTTTTAAAAGCAAATATGAGACAAAACAATGTAAATAAAGATGATTTTAAATTTGTTTAAATGAAAGATCTAACTTTTAAAATGAACATATTTTTCTAGCACGAAGTATATTACATAGTTAGAACATGCCTAAAAATGAGCAGATGTGATAAAACAACCAGCATTCCAAATTTTTTTACAATTAGTTTCCAAAACATACATATTCCATTAACCTGTAATATAATACTGAAATGTACAGGTACATTTTTAATAGTAATCACAGCAATTCAGTAAATGTGCAAACAAAAATCTTTAAATTCAAACTTAACATAACTGGTTTTTACTTGTCTTTCAAATAGACCTAACTCTAATTTGCTTGTGGCCAAGAATTTTTTAGGTGACTTCTATAAATGTGAATGGTACAAGAAAAACCAGTATTTATAAAACAGACAATAATTAATAATTAAACCAATCTTTTACAAATGTTACTTGTAATCTCACCTGAAATCCAGATTTTAAAAAATATATTCCTAATGCAATTACTGCATCTTGGGCACGTTGATCAATACGAAAAATTCCCTGTGGTGACTCTTGTGGACATAAGGAGAGCAAACGATTCAACTAGTAAAAAAAACAAAAAAAACTGTGAAATATATAAAAACTACAAAAAATAATAATGATATTCTCTATTCATGATCCATCAAATTTGTTGAAAAGTGCTGAAAATATGTAACAAACTTTTTTTTAAGATTAATGATTTGCTACAAAAACTAACTAAATAACTTGTATTTTTACATTACAATTTCTCATTGAACATGCGATCAATTTAAAGTAGATTAAAATTCATCATCAAAGTCAAACACTATATATAAAAAATGTGAATAATTATACTTGCCCACGTTTGTTGAAGCAAATCTAATATCACAGAAATTTAAAATTTCTTTGCAACATAATCCTGATGTATACAACAAAATTAACATTTTATAAATAAATAAAGGTAAATAATCATATAATTGTCAAATGTTTATTTATTGTTTATCTGTTCCACTACATTTTATTGTAATATTCTTGAAATAAATGGAATACAAAGTCATATATTTTTATTGTTCACAGTAAAGTATAAAATTTTGTTAAATCAATTTGTGTGTTTAATTATATAAAATTACAGAACTTGTATCAAAATTTAACATTAAATAATTTATTGGATTTTATCAAAGTAACAGTCAACTACCTTTAACGTTGAACATTCAGTTTTAAAATAATTTTATCAAGAAATTCAATAACTGAAGTCCAAACATTGGACATGTGTAAAACAAGCATAAATTATTTCCACTAAATATAGAATTTTAATTTGAAGTTTTGTTTTGTTTGGATTTTTGGTGCATGTCAAGTATTCAGTAAGGAAAACTTCTTAATATTTCTATAACCATTAAATGCAGGAATTTTATAAGAATTTCTAAATATATAAACAATTTCAAAGTCAAAAGTAAATATGTATAAAACAAAAAGTTCATTCCATATCACTCTAAGTTAGGGCTCTACGCCTACTAGCAACAAAGTTGTCATTTCTAGCATTTCACTGAACCCTATGTTAGCCCAGGTTAAATCTGTGACCAATAAAGCTTGAAGAATACTTAACAAGACGCACAGTTTTCCTCATATATTTATCACTTCTCTGACTTTTTTGATGAAACAAACTGCACATTGAAACATGAAGGAATAGCTCTCGTAATTTTTGTTGATAGGGTGGCCACCATGTTGTTTAAATCTGGAAATAGCATAGAATGGAAGAACCAAACTAGCCAATTGAAAAGAAGCACAGCAGTATCTGTTGGATGTTGTGATTTCAGCCCAGTGTTAACATAACATAATGCTTTGGGACAACATGGGACCTATTGGTCCATCTCGGTCGTTCCATCCTCTAAACTAAATTTTTTTTTTTTTTAAATCTTAAAGCCAGCCCTTATCATTCATATATTTATCAAGCTTTTTCTTAAACTCACTTAAATTGCCTGCCTCTACAACATCACAAGGCAACCCATTCCAAAGGCCAACCACCCTATTAGAAAAATGAAACTTAGTTGTAGATGACTAAGCATGGGTAAACAGTGGGAGTAACTACAACTTTCTTAATGGAATGACTGACAATACAGAAAAGTGATCCAAACTATTTTCTTTTGAAAATGAATCAGATCAACCTGATCATGATTTTAAGCCTTGCCTGTACCTTCTAATGGTGAGAGTCATCAGAACCTTTACTCTTGTTTGATATAGGGAAGCTAACACAGAAGGATGACAAATTACAGGACTGGTACACCTAGCTGGCTGCACCAGTGTTAGGCAGTAATTGGTTATTGATGGGACTGAAAGGTTGTAAGAGTAAATAGAACTTACAATTTATCTTGAAACTGAAAGTTCTAATAATGAGCCTTGACTGGATTGGAAATGTAGTATGCAACCCAGCTCCAATGAAGGACCTAGAGTAGCCAAAATTCTAAATCATTTTTACAAGTAAATAACATCTGCAAATATCAATGACTGTTTACAGATTATAATGAATTTCAGAAACATGTACTATTTTCACGGGGAAAGTAGAGATTTTCATACATTTGTGTAAAGTGTTTGAAAATTGTTTGAACCTTTTGCTTGCAAAAAGACCTTTATCTTAATATATACAAATAAATTTACAGCTCTATCTCTTTGTCCTGAGAAAAAACACACACTACCAAATTAAAACCATCACTGAAAGTCTGTTCACTTTTAATAACCATGATATTGTTCAATTACAACTTAACAACTTTGTTTCTTATCTTGGCATTGGATCTTCATCATTAGATAATGCTGATTCCCAAGATGTGTTTGAAGAAAGAAGAGGAAGATCTCAAAAGATTCATCAAACAATTTTAAAGGCCCAACAAAAAGTGTTACTTATTACTAAAATTTTACCTTCCTTATCTTCACATACTATCCTTAGTTAGTGTTCTGGACAGATGAGATATCTAATCATTGATGCACATGAATGGATTAATGAGATTCCCACTGTCCCTTCTTACACTCTAGTAAAATCAAGGTCAAGCTGGCTTTGTTTGTTTTTTGTTGTTGTTGTTTAGATTAGTAGATGGAATGGCCTAGATGGGTCAACAGGTCCCTTGTTGTCCTTAACTTTTATATGTTAAGTTATAAATGTATGCAGATTTTTACAGCAGTCTTGTAGGCATTTGAAACTCAGCATACACAAAAAGTACAACTAGATTCTCAGTGTATTATATCACAAAACCTCATACCCTAATATAAGACTTTTATTACTATTTGAAAACAAATATATATTGGGGCCAACAACACTTTAACTCAGTAATTTCCAAACTGTATGTAGCAACACACTAGTGTGTCACAGGCAAATTGCTAGGGGTGTCATAAGAGATTCGACAAAAAGAATAATTAAGAACGTAAAACAAAGAACGGTGAGAATATAGTATGCAGTCTACATAGATATTATCATCACCACCGTTTTAATTTTCATTTATTTGCAATTGGCACCAGTTATTATAAATAATGCTTTTAAACTAATAAGGTACAAAATACCATTATATAAAATTTGGGGACAAATATAATCGGAATGAAATAAGTTCCAACAATCAAAACTAGCGCAATTGTAACCTAAATTTTAGGTACTCTTTTGGAACACACAACTTATTAAATTATTATTATTTGCTGAATAAAAACGTGGATATATATAAATTATTTGGCAATAAATTATGTTTTAGTGAATCATTAAAATGGTGATGATGATAGTATTTGTGAAAACTATATACTATAGTGTAAATATCTCTGTAGATCGCATGCTATAGTAGCACCCAAAGAACTTCACAAAAACGAATACTGCAAGTGGCAACAGGGATGTTGCAAAAATCAAAGTAAGGGGTTAGGATGTCATCAGAAAAAAACATTTGGAAACCACTGGTTTAACTTACATCAGGCATGCCTGATTTTGTGTACTGGTGGATCTACTATGTTCTCCTATTTAATATGGACAAGCAGTTCCAGAAATAAAAACGTTTCAATAGTGTAAGAATGACTAATAAGTGAACTTCACTAAAGAACTATCTATATACATGAATTGTCACAACAGTATGGGCAGAAAGTGTGATGAACCTATCACATAACCCAGGCAGCTTTTGTTGACTCTATTACAAGCAGCTTCTTGTTAACAGTGACATTTCATTACTGGTTACTTTATTTATTGATAGCATTTAAAAATGACTCTGTACTGTGAAAATAAACAAAGCCTTTATGTAAGTTAAGAAAGAATACCTGGTAATGGAATAACCATATTTCATCAAAAATTGTTTGATATGTTTCAAAATATAAAGAAGATATGTTACTGTCACTTTCAAATTGTCACTACCACTGTACCTGTTTTACTTAGGTTTCATTAATCAACAAGAATTTTAAAGAAATGTATGGTATTGGCACTGGAAAGGAGAAGACCTAAGAATTAAAATAAATTTCGTAAAGTTACCATTACACTTACAGTATTATTAGTATTACGAATAGTTTTTGTTAAAACTGTGTTGTATGATAGTACTGATACTGTTTTTCATTTAGCAGAAATACAATGGAACTGTATTAATGCTAATTACGATACTAAAGCGTAAAGCACAAGTTCGAAAGTAGTCCTACTATTAGTGATTAGTACTACTAATCATTGGTAGTACTAGTAGAATTATTATAAAATAAACTATAGTACTAGTAATAGTATATAACTCATAAATACTTAAATTTAAAATAGGCTAGTGCCAGGATAGGGAAAATATACCAATGTAAGAATTTACGATGGCATGGTACTTTGACATCTTTCAAATACCGTGCATAAATTATAATAATATATTTACCTTATCAACTGGAGTAGGTTTCAAGCTTGCAAGAGCTCTTGCAAGATTTTGAACGGCATTAAAGAAAAAGGCTTTATCGTTATTTACCAATATCGCCATTTTACATCAACAAACACATCCAAAACTATATGAAAACTAGATAGGCTATGAACAGCAAAACGATATAATAATGCTATTGTTATTTAATATAATAACAATTAATTAATATAACTAATGCAAATTTCTAACTGGTCCACTAATTTGTAAATCTGAAGGCTTATAATACTAAAAATAAAAAATAATTTCGATACCCCTAATGGGCACGGTACAGATAGCCTATTGTGGAGTTATGCACTTAACAACCAACAAAAAACTTCTTAATGAAAATGATTGAAATTATTATACTTTGTATCATTTCAAAGTAATACAAACGTACACTTTACAGATCATGTTTTCTTTGTTTATTGTTGAGTTTGTTGAATAGAAATTATATTTCAAGTTCAGGAAAAAAAGGAATAAACTAAATTCCACGATGTTATGAATTCATAGAAAATAATTTTTTTCGGATTTAATATTTGACAGTAACTTACTGTGTGTGAATGTGCAGACATTTAAAACTGAATAACAGAGTTGAGTGTCATTCATAACTTCCCAACAACTGAAAGCACGGATCGTGATTAGCAACATATCGTGGTTTTAACCTTGGATTTCCCGAGATGTCGTCGGCATGCTTACCACTTATCCACATCAGACCAGAATCCATAACAGCGAAGATTTCACTAATATTTGTAACAAATGTTCATTTTTATAAGAAAGAAAATACGTATACCACGAATTAGAAAATGAAAGAAATTTATTCCCATCTTTTTGTTCGGTTAAATGAAATTAACTATTTTTGTTTATCGCTCAATTTTTAATTTGATTTTAAGTCATCGTATACAGAAAGAAAATGAAATCTTCTAATAATAAATATTTATTTATAGATGATCAATAAGATATTCTATTTTTGGGGTATATGAATATGCCACGTGTTTAAGTATTTTGTTATAGTAGAGCCCTACAGTGGCATAACAGTATGTCTGAGTACTTACAACGTTATAAACCGGGTTTCGATACCCATGGTGGGCAGAGAATAGATAATCCATTGTGTAGCTTTGTGCTTAACTACACACAAATAAACAATGTAATAGTAGATATTTATTCTGAATTTATTATTTGTTCTGAATATGTGCACATTTCACACAACACTTGGTCAGGAAAAAGGTTAAGTTGGTCTTGTTTTAAGTTACTTTTGTTTCATTGTTATTCTAAAAGTAGTTAAAACGTGTTACTGTCCATCGAGAATATTGATTAATGTGTTTAGGGGAGATATCTGAATGTTACGGCACCACCTATGTGTAATAAGAATGACTTGTCACTTGATATCGTATGTCGCTTTTGGTAAATACATGGTTTGCTTAATCTGAAACTTCTCCGTCAACTGGTCAGTTATTTTTAGAACTTGGTCTTGACCAAGTAAACCTGAGAAAAGCTACTTGGAGTAATCTCGTCCAAAGTAAATGCTATGTAAATTCCCACACTGTGTTTGTGTTTAATGCATTAAGAATATTGTTTATTCGTGAATTATTTGTATCCAGTCTAGTTATTTCATTTTCCATCAACCCAGTTAAGTAAGAATTTTAGTTAGATTTTGTGAATAATATATTGAATAAATCTCATGTTATTTAGCGGATCTATCCGATATTAAGTACATATATTCAGTTCACCTGAATATACAACATTTGTATGTCATAATAAACGGACTTGCAGCATGTTAAAAATACTTTGATAATGAGTTTTCAGCCCTTATCTTATGAACATTGTAAGAACACTTAATCCTATGGGGAGTGTGGTATGTAGTCATACCATATGCTTTCCACATACATTGGTTAAATAGGAATCTTTACCTTTTTTTGTGGTTTGTATGCAGTTTTAGCACAAACACGTGGTCCAGAAGGTCATTGAGATTGTCTTGCTGTAGTTCCTGTATGTTACTGCAATATCCTCTTAGGCAGAATAGACATGATTTGCTATGAATGATAATTCCTATTCTGCTCAAAAAGACATTGCAGTAGCATATAGCTTCCAAAGTGAAAGGATTAGTGATTAGGATTTGCTGACCGAATTGACATTACCTTAAAATTACAGTTAACCAATGCTGTAAAATAGCATAGGTCACAAGGTGATGCCGTCAACTGGACAAAGAAAGTGAGGAACAGAAAGCTGACAAGATATTCACTGATTCGGTAGAGATGACAGTCCATTTTCCTACGTAGGTGTGCACACTTTCTGTGTATGTGAATAAAGATTGTTTTCACTGTCCATCAAACGTGTCCAATCTGTTTATTTCTCACACAACTTAAAACTCAGTCCAATTATCAAACACAGATTACACTCTTTGTTTCCTGATTGAATCTGTTGTTATTAGGGGGCCTAACTATCTGATACTTGTAGGAAAATCAGTTCACCTTAAAATACCACTAGGGGATATTTTCCAGTAGTTTTCAGTTTGTTCATAACAAAATAAGCTATTAGCGAGTATGTTATAGCAAAATAAAATATTTATAGAGTTCAAGGTATTTGTTCATTTTAGTTTGTGAAGAATACAAATTTAAAAACTAAGGTTTAATTATTAGAATTGTTACGTCTCTGTTCGTTTGTTAATTTCCCGTAGAAATTCTTTCCGAGAAACTTCAGCGATACAAGTCCTTTTTTAACTAAAACTAGTTTATTATTTCTCGATACAGCTTTATAATACACAGAATTTCCACAGTCAATACGTTTGCAATCTCGATAACAAAACACACACTTTATATTACCGTCACTACCGCTCACTTGACTCAATTATCTGTCTCTATCTATCAGCAATTATTATCTCCGTCTTGTCCTGGCAGTTATTTAGATTTAAAAATAATTATTTCTGGAGGAAATAATTATTATTCTGGGGTGCTCGAAGATTAAGCAATCCTCCTTCACCCCGCTCGTGGTAAAAGGTTACATTTCGTTTAGTGGTCAGCGGAGTACTGAGCCAAATGGGCTAAGGATAATTAATTAAACAAAAGAAGGGGGTAAATTTGGATATTACAATATTAAAAATTAAAAAAGTGAAGCAGAGTAATCTAAGGCTAAACGAAAACAAAAAACGGCCGATATCGGACAGATGGTCCTTCAGGGCGGCGGGGATTTAGAAATCCTATGCCGAGAATTTAATGTGGGGGAAACGGGCGTACCCCGAGAAAACCCACTTTCACTGGTAACAGTCTAATCTGTTACCAGTGCTCTATTAATGAGAAGAAGTAAGTAGCAAGTATGAAGGCAAGATGAAGGCCGGTGCTAGGGGTGATTAGTTCTTGAAGTCGTTGTGTAGTCTCCTGGAGTTTATCGTGGCAGTGAATAGGCTTAGTTTCCGGCTCCGGGCTCGTGGTAAAGGCGTCATTGGTAAGTGGTGGCTGTGTCTGAGTGCCTTTTTTTCTCCTTGTAGTGGTGGTTTGAGTGGACATCTCACGTGTTTTGAGAGTAGGTGAAGTTTGGGTAGCTTGATCGGATGTTCTGGGGTGGGTGGTAGAGTTCTGGTTGGCGGTGGTTGTCTTCATGGTGTTGTGAGATGAAGGCATGGGGGTGATTATTATCTCCGCTTTAGTTGCCGGGCTTATATACTAAAATAGAAGGCGCCTAGAAAAGACTAGAGTTGCCAGAAAAAGTCACGATCCTTCTAGAAACTCGTGACGTGTTACCAGCGTCACGTGACTTCCTCTGTCGTAACAGAATGTTGACACAGAACATCACATATTTATCAACTTCATAAAACTGGAAAAATGTATTTTTACAAACAAACAATATAAACTAGCACTTAGTACCTTTGTAGGAAGATTTATATCACACTAGAATTATGGGTGGTATCCACTACATCATCTTTTAAACACATTTTCCCTAATATGTTTGTATAACAAGCTTCTTGTAGGTCCATGACTTTGTTGGTTACAGAGTCTTTAATAATAATATATAGAACATAAAATCCAAACAGAAATACTATCAATACCGCAATTAATCAATTTTGCAACTTCTGGAGTCTATGTTTATTTAACTAAGAAAATAGGTGATACCGCCATTGTTTTCCTTAATCACTTCTATTTGTTGCGTATAACGAATTTGTGATATATTTATTTTAATGTCAACGTTTGTTTCGAATAAGTTTATATTTGAGGGCGTGTTTAGCTTACCGTGTTAATTACGTATGGCGAAGCTCCCGCTAATTCTCCAAGATTATAGAACAGTCGTGAATATAAGAATCAACAATATATCCATTTCCGTATCCAGTATTATTAGCAGGTTCTAGAAAATGTGTCTCACCTATAAAAACATCAAGGCATCCTGCCAAAAAACAGCAGACAACAGAGAAGAGACAAGTCTACTATGAAATTGTTATAACCGTGTAAGCTATAAACTATGATTTCGTTAACCCTTATCAACCGGAAAATATACGACATTTGGTCAGGAACAGTTATAAATTTCGAACGTCAGTGAATTCCCACCAAACGTTTATATCTCTCCAAGAATATTACTAATTTCTCATCGGACATCAGTGATTTTATGAAAATATTATCTTACTTCAATGGTCCAACAATTCAGTGCCTGACAAATCTAGCTAATTTCCCGCCTATTATATGTACGTTACAACTCGCTGGATATCAAGAAGATTATGAACTAGGAAGACGAATTTAAGCTATTTGTAAGTTAATGAAATTTCTGGTTATGAAACTTGGTTTGTAATAATTAATCATAATAATTGCTATTATAAATTATACTATTGTATATACATATATATATAGTAAAACGTATTTGTTTCAAAACAAAAATGGTGTGAATCAATCTTGTCGGCAAATTGCGTAAATTAAATAAAATACCGGCATATTTCTAAACATTAAATCCAGGGTACGTTTCAACTATTAAAAGTTAAATTATTTAACGCGGCTGTGTATTATTTCAAATTCTCAGTACGTAACAATCACATTCTGAGAAAAGTTTATGACATCCAAACTGAAAGTAACATATATATATATATATATATCTTTATTTAAAAGCTATACATTTAGATATTGGGTTACAATTCTTTTGGCAAAAAATATAAAAGAATTATTGGAAATTTCATACAAAGCTCAAATATAAATAATTTGGTACATACGTTTATTTTCATTGTAATTCTTATCTTTATTAACAAAATGAATTTGTAAGAAGTTCTTCTAAGTAAACTTTAAATCTGAAAATATTATTCAGTTTTTTTAAAATCCAAAAAGCGGCAATATTGTTCGAGGTATTCTATTTTAAAACGTATCCTAAACTCCCACTTCATTTTAGAAATTGTTCTTTTGTTGAGAAAAATCATAGGGCGGTATCACGATCAGCCGATCGTTCAAGGGCTGTACTGGTCGATGGCAGTGTTGTAGGGGATTACCATTAACGTCTACGAGCATTCGAAATGTCAGAAGCTAAATAAAAATAAAAACAAATTCAACTCGTCAGTATTATATGTTGTATAATGATAAAATAGAAGAAGATAATAGGAGTTCCAAATATAAGTTAAATAAATATCAAAGCCTTGTAATGTATGATGATGTAATTAAAAGTAATAATAATTATTCAGTGGTTAAAATGCTTTACTTGAAATCAAAGAACATATATAGATTGAACTATCTAAACTAGTAATTAGTGGGTTAAAAGTGTCTTATTTGAGTTAAGGGAATTATTTCCAATATTTCATTCATATCTTAAAATGTTTTATTTGAGTTCAGAGAGCAGAAAGACTTCTTTTTGAAATTTATCACTACCTGAAATATAAATATATTTTATTCACAATAAAAACTCTAAGTACTCTAAGTTACTTATGAGTGTTATAATAACTTTTTATCAAATATGTCTAATAATTAAATGATATTTACGTTAAATATATATAAACAACAACCTCAAAGAAAGTAGAACAGAGGATATAAAGTTAATTTACGTTGAATGATAAATATAAGATACTAGCAGCGTTACCCGGGTTTTCGAAAAACAAACAAACTACTCTCTCGTTTCCCCGTTCCATATTTCGATAGGTAAAAAATATTTTGTAAATTTATGAAAAAAAAAAAACAACAACAACAATTTGGGTTTAATTTTTGAAAATACACTATGAATCAGTTTTAAATCAGAGCTTCCTTTTGTTTTCCTTCACTGGCAAGGATAAATAGGCCCTTATGGAGAACATTTAGGTTATCTTATACACGTATGTGTACCCGTACTGGCGAATAGGATAAGCCTAGCTCTATCCCCCCCTCCCCCAAATCCCTCCTCAAATATTAAAATTTAAAATATAAATATGTATGTACCATTGTGTTCAATTTGCTTTAATGTAAATTTAATATATTTTTATGAATGTGATACCTTATTCACTTTTATATATAAAATATACTACAAAAAATGTAATACTGCACTTTATAATTTATCAAAAGGCGGAAAAAATCCATTTCCAGGTATTGAACCACCAGGAGAAAAAAAAAGTTGATTAAAATACATTCGCTGACTTGACTTTAATCTCATTTTACACAATAAGTATTATAGTGTAAGCCTTACTCTTTTCAAATAGTCTATTTTATGGTAAATAGCATTATTGTATTTTATAGGCTATGCCTACTGTTTGCTTTTTCGCACAGAACATTCTAATTCTGCATACATTTCTTTTGAGTGTGAGGTTAAATATGTGATGTATTAGTATATAGATGTATAATTAATAATTATAACTAAATAGGCCTAGCTAGTGTGATGCTAATAAAAAGAAATACAATTTCTAGGTTCTACTCATCTTCCACTTCATGCAAGCACTCTACCAGTTATGCTGACTTGACTTTAATCTCATTGTACACAATGAGTATTTTAATTTAAGCCTTACTCTTTTCATCTATTCTATTTTACGGCAGACGGCATAATTTTATTTTATAGGTTAGGGATACTGTTTGCTTTTTCATGGACATTTTAATTCTGCATACATTTCTTTTGTATGTATAAGGTTAAATATATGATGTATTAGTAGATATATAGTTCATGATCTATGACTAAATAGGCCTATAATGCTATATTCTAAATTAAATGTTAACTCAAACTTACTAAAAAAAATGTCAAGTCTGCGTAGAATTTATTCATGTAATGTATATGTTTACGGTAGCAAACGATAGACGCGTATATCAACAAAAAATTGTCGTTTTGCGCACCTTCACGTAAGAGAAGTGTGATCTGCAAAGTGAACGCGGCGAACAAACAAGCAAACTGAGAGGTTTTGAGTTTTATATATAGATAACTAAAATCTCGATTCTCTAAGTCAGTCAAACTAAGTTTCTAGCACTAATATGTTAATACTTAATGCACATATAGGCCAGGCTTTCTTAAGTGTCCAATTTCATGTCGCCAGTGTTCTGGGGCAAATTTCTCGGACTACGTACTTTACACAAACTTATAATAATTTCTAAATGATAGACGATGGGCAGAATTTTCCGAACATATATAATATGTTGAGTTTGTTTAAGTTTTTCCAGCAAACTAAGGAAATAACTAATTGTGAGGTGTTACATGTAGCATGTCGTCAGCAGAAAAATTTAATTTCAAAGCAATAACACAAACTCAAAAATTGTATGACTCAAGCCTTTATTGTGATTAATAAGTAAACATTTATGTTTTGAAAATTTGTTATTAGCTGACTGTTCTGTTATTTTGTCACATATAAAAATATCCAAAATAACATGTCGCCGAAATCATGTGTTTTCCTTTACGGTTATTCATTTTCAAGACAATAATTACAAAAGTTTGAGTAAATAGAAAGATTAGTCTAAAATCAATCCGGGAAGTATATAATTTAATTTGATCATACCCCAAACACAGGGTATCAATAGATATTTTGGGTATGTCCATTTGGAGCTTGTAATAAAATTAGTTTTTGAGCACGTGATCTCAATTACGCATATATCTAGTGTACTGTTTGATACTCAAATTATGTCAATTTGTTATATCGTTAGTCAAGACATTTGTTGTTATTAGTAGCTAAAAGGGTAAGTTTAAATTGCATTCTTCAATAAAAATCACTGAACATGAAATTGCGTGAACTCCTTTACGTCAGTTTTGCTTCAGAGGGAAATATATAGAGTGCATGATACTTTTCTCGCCTATTCAGTTTCCACCATGTGCAGATGATTAGGGTAGAATGGATTTGAAATGTATTAATGACAAATCAACTTATTTTCCAGCAAGAAAAGTCATTGAAAGTGGGATTACATAACAGGTGTCTATCACTTTAACTGTTTAACTAACATTCAAATGGTGTGAGTGGTGGTAGTTTTAGGTTTAAGTAACTGATGAATTACAAAGCTAAATCTGTGAGTGATAATTAGGGGTCTATTTATAAAAAACAGTTAATTGGAGACCTTGTAAGATGCATGTAAAGGAGTTCACAGAATGTGTAAAGGAAATCACCATTTTAATTCAACTCCTTGTTTATGCTTTGCACTTCTTAGTATAATGCCATATAATAATAAAAGCTTACGTTTATGATCTGTAGAAGCAGAATACACTATAACTATTCTTATTATCCTGCTATAGCTGGATTTACGGTAGATATGTAAAGGAGATCACATTAATTTCTACACCTGTCTTTGCTAATATACAGAGGTGGTATGTACTTCGGTGATGGGTTTCATATTTGTATTTTTAAAATGGATGGTAAACAAAGTCGGCAGCTGAAATATTATCACAGAAAAAAGGCAGCTGAAGGGAAAAACCCTCTTTCAATTTGTTTGCTTTTTGCTTTTTATTTTAGGTACAATATAATGTGGTAAAGGAGAACACGTGTGGAAAACAGTAGTAATCTTTATCAGGTGGAAAAATGAAGAACGTAGCCCGAGTGTTAGCTTTTTGGCACAAGGTTTTTCAGTAGTTATATTTTCAAGAACTGTATAAATCATATTTATAGAAGAAGTTTGTTTTTTTTTCAAAATTTTCCAGTTGAAAAATGGACACTTAAGAAAGCCTGGCCTACATATATACTTGACAAGAGCAGGACATTGTAACACCAAATCTTTCTCGCGAAACTAATCTACTGCTTATAAAAAGACAAAAATATAATATAAATAAAAATATTTTTACAATTTAAAACTAGACAGATAACATTGTTCAATATATATAGCATTTCAAACTCTGCAATCTCTATTACAATCTTGGAATTTAGGGAATCCATTTTTAGCTTTTCACATACCTCATTTGCATTGACTGGTACAGTTTCTTCAAAAACAGTCCAGGTAACAACTTCGCTGCACGGCGGTGTGGTCAATGACCCCTGATACCGAAAGTAACGTGTAATGTCTGCTGGCAGTAAGTCTTCAAAATATATGGGCGAGGTGAGCTTCACAGCACTTCCAGGGATGCTAATCTTTTCAAAGTTTTCTACGATTGGCTGCAAGCTGGTAAGGTAATTTCTGGAGTCAGGCAACTGTGCCATAAAGAAAACGACATATTTTCAGAAAAAAAATTGAAATAAGAGAAAACTCATCAACGTTCCATCTCTGATGAACACGTGTCTAATTTCTAAAACACTTCGCTTATCGGATCTTTCTAAACAGTTGCTTTTATTATATTATGTTTCGTGTTTTTTTCAAAACTGTAGTTGTATTTATTGAGAAGAAATAGAATATAAATACTTGTCGAATTTTGCCTAAACAACAAAACGTGCCAGTATTGAATCTATTTCTAAGTTCTCTCAATTAATATTATTTTTATCAATGAAAAATGTTAATAATCACTGAAAAAAAAACTCAGACTAGTTTCCATCTGATGCTTCTGTTGGTCACAAGTTTCCTAATAATCATTGAAAAAACTCAGACTAGTTTCCATCTGATGCTTCTGTTGGTCACAAGTTTCCATGTTCATCACAAGATTCTTGGTTTTCTTCCAACTCTCTCTACTCTCTGATGGAGGAATTGTTTCGTACAAACAAATTAGTATGCCAATGTAATCGCAAAGTAGAAAATATATCTTTAAATAATGACGCAACAGCATGTCCAATTTGTTTTAAAGTGACTAACGTATGACAGAGTAACTTACTAAAATAATTAGGCACACAACTGTTTATTTTTCTGTTGGAAGGAAGTTTCTTCTCTTTCAGAGCTGACGTGGATCTATGTCGAAGTGTTGACTATATTAACTCACGTGAAGTGTAGTGTTGGTGTAAATACAATGAGTCTTGAAGGAAAGTTAGAGAAAGTGTTTACACCACGAAGTAATTTGGACTTGATGTCTACATCTTACTTCCAACACATTCACTTATCTCACTTCACTTCCTTCTCTTGAGTTTCTCAGCCCCGGATCCTTTGTTTTTGGTTTACTTGCTGAAAATCATCTAAACATGGTTGACGGGGACGTCACAAAATAAATCAATGGTATATAAAGTCAAGTTAAAACGAAGGATTCATACACGTTTTTAATTCAACATTGTCTGTCTGTACGCCATCCCACCGAATTACGTTCACCTCATATTACCTGAGTGCTATTAGAATTAATGCTACGTAGGAAATTATTTTAGAATGTTTGTCAAAAGTAGGCATTAGTTGAAGAATAGGAAAGAGGATAGTAGCAAAAATAATTTGTTTTTAGCACAAAGCTACTAAAGGAACTAACTACGCTCCGTCCAATAGGTGGAATCGAAACCCTGTTTTGGTACTGTAAACCTTCAGAAGACGTTACTGCTGACCCACCAGAGGAACTTATTTTGTAAGGTAGCGCACAAAAAAACAACAAAATATCTTACAAGGTATTTAATAAAACTGCTGATTGTAACCATATCTATCAAAGCACTGTTTCTTTTCGCTTATGGCTTAATATACAGTATGTTTAAAAGGTTTTGATTATAATTCATACAAACACTTGACAACCTGAAAGATATATTATTTCTGATACACACATTTGTGAGGAGTGAAATTACCAAGGTTATCCACCTAATCCAATCGTTTGTAACAATAATATGTTTTTATGTTATATTTATATTTTAATTGGAGCCCGTCCTGGAGAGGTATGCTTATTACACATAGCTGTAACTTTGTCTTTTCAACAACTTATTAGTTCTACTGTGCAAATCAGTGCCACAGAAACATACCTGAACATGTTAAATATTTGTAACACGAAAAGAATTACCTTTACAAACACGGCAAATACTGCAATTCCATCGTCATAAAGTGATGCTACGGTAAAATTTGGATACTTCTCGTTAAATGCTACCAGATGCATCTGAGTGGACAAAGATCATTAATTTACATTAACGAATGCCACAAACACATTTACACAATTTATTAAACAAACGAATCTGGTCGATCTAATATCAACTCACATAAATATGCAACATTTTGGTTTGTAAAATTTTAAATAACTAACAGTTACCCTGTATTGAAAGAATTTTAAAAGGTTTGAATTAGTTTGGACTGTTTTGAAGTTCGCGCAAAGCTACTCGAGGGTTATCTGCGCATTCCGTTCATAATTTAGCAATGATAGAGGGAAGGCAGCTAGTCAACACACCCACCGTCAACTCTTGGGCTGGTCATTTACCAATGAATGGTAGGATTGAATGTCACATTATTATACCTCCACGACTGAAAGGGCAAGCATGTTCGGTGACAGGGATTCGAATCTGAGACCTGCAGATTGCGAGTTGAACGCACTAACCACCAGGCCTTAAACGATACAATTTTTTAATTTTATGTAAAATCTTTACGATAACCCTTGTTTTTTTGTCATTTAAAATACAGTTTTTATGACTTTATATACAAGACTTGTTTGTTTGTTTTGTTACTAAGCGCAAAGCTACAAATGAGCTATATGCGCTGTGCTTACTTCTGGTATTAAACCATAATTTTTAGCGTTATAAATTCAAGCTTACCGCTGAACCACCGTGGGGCATGCATATACAAAACTAAATTTGTTGTGTAATTTTTTAAAAATATATTGTTGTCATTCTTGTTTTCTTAATAAAAAAAAATACGACAAGAGACTATCTGAAACCTGGCTATCGCGGAAAATCGAACCCTGGATTTTAGAGTAAATCTAACGCTGACCCACCGGAATACGTTTAATAGGACAAAGGAAGAAGAGTTAATACATTGTTTAGTTATTCAGACATTCTCTAAACGTACTAATAATGTTACAACTAATGATTCTTGAGAATAAATCCACAAGGATTTTGAGAAAAATATTTAATCTCTTCTACCAAATACATACGCAGAAGTTAACCGTCTATCTACAATTAGATTAAACAAAGCCACAACGATAACTGAACATGGTTGTAAAATGTCAAAGAATTATTAAACTTAATAAATTAGAATTTTGATACAAATTGACTAAAAAAAGAAAGAAAGCCAGTGCACTTCTCAGAGAAATCTAACATTTTGAACGATTTGTATTTTAGTTAAAAACATTTCACCTCCACAGGATAATGGCGACCGTTTATGGTATGTTCCGATCCTTGAGTCATTGATGTGCTGTCCCAGTGAAAGTGCAACTGATCAAACTGGAAAGTTCCTCCTAATCCTCCACCCTTTACTTGTACTGCGTCGGATCTTTCTAGGATCAACTGTGCTGTAAAACGATCGTGAAAAGAAACACTACAATGTATATTCTGTTCTATAAGTGGTCGGCCGATGAACTTCGTTCACAATTAAAATGAAATTTGTTAAAAACATACTGAGTTGCTAACTTAAATCTCATTAAAATTAAAACTGGGCGTGGCCCAGTGGTTAGCGTGCACAAACTACGAAGGTTCAAGGCTCGCGCCCCGTTCCCGTAAAAAATGCGCTCTGCGCTTTGGGGTGGTAGGTGTAATATATTAGTGACAATCAAACGGTTAATTTCCGCTAATCGGTAAGACAAGAAAAGTTTGCGGTGGGTACTGTTGACTGGCTCCTTCTCCCAAGTGGCACAGCGGTATGTCTGCAGACTTACAACGCTATAAACTGGGTTTCGATACGCGTGGTGGGCAGAGCACAGATAGCCCATTGTGTAGCTTTATGCTTAACTACAAACAAACAAACCTTCTCTCTAATCTACCACTTGAAAATTCTGCTGAGCGAAGATAGCTTTTTGTGTTGCTTTGTGCAACAATTCTGAAGGCATAACATCATTTTAATGTGTGTTTTTTATATTACATGTTACATAGTTTTATATGTTTGCTGTTGTTGTTTTTTTATCAAAAGTGTATCTTCAGCACCACCGTTTTTTTCACAAAGTAATTTTAATTTTATATTTGAAGATACTATTAAGTATGAAAGAGTGTTTTTTATTTAATCCATAAGGGAATGTATCAGTATTATACTAGAGATCATGAAGTTTGCTCTTAGAGATAACGTTAATGTTAGGAAATAAATTTATGGGTTATTGAAATATATCAAAGTTGTCAGTATGATTAATATATTTTCAGTCGGTAAAGATTTACAGACAGTTCCCACTGGAGTTTTAAAGTTATAGTTTGTTTGTTTGCTTCAGAATTTTCACGAAAAGCTACAAAAATGGCTATCTAATTTTGACTTCATAGACTAGAGAGATGAGGCATTTAGTGAACAGCACCTACCGTCAACGCTTTGGCTACTCTTGTCTGACCGTAACTTTTACAGTACATCTACACTTCAAAGTGCAAAGAACGTTTTTGCGGCAACGGGTCGTGAACCACGAACTCTCGGAGTCACACCCCAAGCATGCTAACGACTTGGCTACGACCAACCCATTAAAGGAGTAAAAGGGAAATAACCTTTTCCCAGTGAGACTGTTTTTATCTTCAACATTCGTTCCTCTAAGCCCCATTATTGTGACGTGAAATTTGCTTATTTGTTTGTTGTTGAATTTTACGGAAAGCTACTCGAAGATTACTTGCATTAGCCGTCCTAAATTTAGAACTGATAGATAAGAGGGAAGGCAGCTAGTCAATACCACTCACGGCCAATTCTTGGGCTACTCTTTACCAAGAAAAAGTGGAACTGGCCGTCAGGTTATAATGCTCTCACGGCCGAAAGGATGAGCATTTTCAATGAAGAGATTCGAATCGAGCACCCTAAACACGACGCCATGGCAGTTCAGCTCAAGGTTAGCTTCATTCTATATTAATGAAAAGTACTAGCTTAAATTTACTTTCTTCTCTTTCACCTTTATTAACAAGTATTTATTGAGCAGTAAATAATGTATTTTAATTTTTTGGCAGACTGTCATAAGAGGGAGAAAAAAATTGTATTTTTGGGATGTATTACGCAGTGACCGGTAATTTGACCCCTAATCTTTTCACTCCCCATACATTTCACTGCTTGTAAGTTCACTCCCTGTAATAACTTGTTAATGTTAAATAATACTGATCAATAAAAGTAAATTAAAAATTAATAAAAGTGATGTAAGTTATGAGCTATTCCTCGTAAAAAGTTCATCTTGTTTTGTGTATTATATCTAGTAAGAACTTAGGTTAGGTTAGATTAGATTAGGTTATGGAATACTAAAACATATTTTTTGACATTAACAAATTATTACATGGAGTGAATTTACAAGGAGTAAAATGCATGGGGGGGGGGGGGTCAAGTTACCGGGAGTGAATTCTCCTACAATGATGAGAATGTAAAGTACCAGAACTACAGTTACTTTACATGTGTTATGCTGATTACTATGTTCTAAAATGTGAGGATATTAACCTATACATTGAGATATGTATTAAGAATCATAATAATAGAATAACATTAATTTATTTTAATTTATTGTATTTTGAACACTGAGGTCCGTTTTCTTGAGCTGTTCTTGATAACAACAGTTTTGAAATATATATATGTATATATATATATGAAATAATGTGAGTGCAAATCTATATAAAAAATACGCTTGTGTTCATTCCGGAACTTTTCTCGCAAATTTCTCTATCAAACGCTACAAGTCTCATATCGTTAGAAAGGCCTTTGTTCAAGGAGTCCACATTGCATATTGGCTTTTCAATTCAGAATCATCTTATCTGTGTTTTGCTTAGTCAAACTTTTTAATGCAAAGAGTATGCTACACAATGGCACAATGTCGTTGTCCCCATGTGACGACTGGCTTTGATTTCAACTTTAGTTTTTTATTTGCAAGGTATTTCACACAAATAACCCTTAACCCGCGTGTAATTTCCTTAAAATAACGAACATTGGACTAAATACAATTGCTATGGGCTTATCACTTTGAGAACACGCATTCAGATGTTTCTGCATATTCAGCTAAGTTTGCCTTCATTACAACTTTACATTTACTTTACTTTGCTTAGATCCATTTCATAGACTGCTATAAACAACTTTTTCTTTAGTACGGGTTTTATTCTTCGTTTTTGTGAGTTTCTTGGTTTAAATTTGTAAAACCGTGTCATGCACTGAACGCTCATAACTGTTTCATACTCTGTAAACTATTATAAGTACTATTACTTTACTTTATTGTGTACTTTACGGGTATTTTTATTAAATATGAAATAAAGTTAAGTCTACGTGAGGTTGTTTGTCTGACTACGTAAAATATACCAGGATTTATCGATTTAACACATAATGCCTGTAAGAAAGCGTAGCTTAAATGGCGTGTGTGAAAATGATACAATAAGAAAAATTCAAGTGAAGCGCATGAAAATTACCGCAAATGTTTTGCGGGTCGCAGCTAGTACACAATAATGGCTTTACCCAGTACGTTTTTTACTTATTCCCCATATAATCCTCAACGATCTGTAACTAACTTCACAAATAACTTACCCGTGTGTCCTGTATTATATAAAATGGAACTCAGAAATGGATTATCAAAATTATGAAAAACAAATGGACTCAGTTCTTGATTCACTTGAACTGTGCTTGTGTCAATGTTTATGGGAGACTGGTTGGCGCCGCCACAGGATGGGAAACTAAGTTCCCAGTTATCCGGACCTAAGAATATAGTAATCAACAGAACATAAAAAACTCTTAGTGTTATAGATTGAAATTTTAACTCCTTCAGATTCACAAGCTACGTTCAATGAAAGTAATAACTCTCAAGCAATTTTTAAGTACCATATAAAAGCATAGACTCCATAACAAAACATTACTGTATTACATTGAAATAAAAAATTAAAATATCAGTTTGATGTATAAAATTATTATTAGTGAACGATATTATCGTGTATAATACCCACCAAAATATTAGTTTTTGATATTAAACTGTAAACAGTTAACGTAATGTTAATGTAACTTATTTAACTGTAAATCCTCGAGCGAAATCTTAGTGTATTATATTAAAGTATAAAATATTTATGGAAACAGTAAAGTTACATATTCCAATGTAAAACAATATTTCTGACTGTCAGAATTTAGAATTATATATTCTTCTTTTTACCAACTGTCAAAATAAAAAGGCTTTAAGTTATATATTTCTTAATAGTATAAATATATACTATGTTGTTGTTGGGCTTAGGATTCTTCTACAGTAGGTGTATGTGACTTGGTAGCGATAAATCCAACGATGAATAAACAGCACGCACTTCACTTGTTTTCAAAATTATATATATATATATATATATATATTCAGAACAATTTAACGTATGTACATAAATTCTTCAACACTATTGACATTATAGGCATATCATAAATACTATATTTGTAGTTCTCTCCTTCTTCTCATATATCCAC